TATTATACATCATATAAACCAACAGGACCTACAGGAACAGGAGCGGCTTATACACAATTTGTTTGGCTACAGCAGAATATGATTTAATGTCTGCATTGTTTTCTCATACAAAACGCAAACGTTTGTAAAAAGTAAAAAGTGTGTTATGGGCCTATACCTTAGGTATTAATGAACAGCACAGACCACTTCAGTTAGGACCAGTTTCATGTTTAAGTCCAGATAATAGTTTGAGCACAGACATGTAATCCTCCATTTGGAAATAAGTTCAATGATTTTTAAAAAGTAAAACAAACGGGTGTCTCCTCCGTAAACTCCGAGTTTTGCTGCAGCCGACTCCCGGGTAAATCCAATTTCTAAATTCAACCTTACCCTTCACCTCCTTTTCTTATGATTCATATCATCATTGGAAGCAAAACATTACTCTAAGTGCATTTTAAATTATTCTTAAAATGTATTATAGGTATGTTAGCCAAACCTGTAGCTGCCCTTAGCAGAAAAGAACAAGAAAGGAGCTTTCTGATGGAATTGGATGCAGCCAAAGTTTGGGCTCACAAGCGCCCCCTTGAGGCTTTCCTCACTTACAAGCTGTGGTTGAGCGCGATTAAGACCCATATTTGCTTCAAAAACACAATTTATGAGCCATCCTCTTAAATGTAAACATGTTGATTGTAAATTAAATATTTTTGAACTTTTTAAACTGTGATAAACAGGGAAAACAGTTTGATAGCACCTCACAGGACTCTCCCTGTGAACTGTTGCTTTTTACGTCTCCCAAGAGAGGCTCGCCTCACAGCACCGCTCTGTCAAATCTGCGATTTCAAGGTATAAATAAATGAAATAAGGCACAGCACAAATCACTTGATAAAGTGACCAAACATTATTGTATCCATTTTATTACTTTTCTTTCTATGATCTTAGGTGAGGGCCTTGCCTGCCTCATCTGACCGCACGTCACTGGGCTACACAACACAATGAAGCCACCGGAGAGACTGACGCATGAATGCGTATTGAAAAAAAAAAAAGTTCAGTTTGATAAGTGACTTGCTTGATATATATTGTTTATTTTGTTTTTCTTAACAATTAAGAATGGTATGTTATTATCCAGTGTAATCCAAGTATGAGTCTCTCCCTCGACTCTCCCAACAAAAACCCGCCCCCCCTCTCAGAAAATAGTTCCGACGTCCATGCTTTAATTTATTAATTATTTTGTTTTTTTCTAAATTTTGTATTTTTCAGGGGAAATGTCTTTTTTAAAGATTATGTCCACACTTAGAAAGAGTGAACATTTGAATGTTTTCTATACACATTTAACTCATTCACTCCCTTGACGACAACACACTCCGTCGTTAATAGAACGCTCACTCCCAGACGATTTTACAGTTTTTTCTGTTATTACACGTGGCTGCAGTAATGTCTGGCCACCTTGGGAATGACCCATAATACTGAGAAGATTATGGCAAATGTACCTGTAATGATAAAAGCCAAGACACCATAGATCAATATTGGTCGCCAGACAGTTGTTATATATATTTGGTGATATATATATATATAAGGGGAGGGGGGGGGTTTGGGGGGTTGGGGGGGGGGTGGGGGGGGGGGGGGGTTTGTGGGGGGGGGGGGTGTGGGGTTTGTGTGTTTGTTTTGGTGTGGGGGTGGGGTGTGTGTGGTGGGGGGGGGGGGTGGGGGGGGGGGGAGGGGGTTTGTTGTTTGATGTTGTGTTTTTTGTGGTGGGAGACAGTGTGCTGTATCTTCGTGCTGGATGTAGGAGCTTGGATACGTTCTAAGTCGTGGGGCTATGATTTGATTTGGGTCGTTCTAAGTAGTGGAATATCACTTTACACGGGCTGCTTAATTGTCTCCGATCATGAGTGAGTCGAGTAGGAGTGAGGGAGACCCCGTGGTGGTCCTCCTCTGCAGCCTCTTTGCTGGCGGAGCTGACAAACTTGACTCTTTTATTTATTCTCCGGATAGTGATTTTACTAATTGTATTGTATTTACAGGTGGTGCATCAAAGGCAGTTGCCTGTGCACAAAAAAGGTAAGAGGACTACTATTTCTAGTCTTGTACAGCCCATGCAAATAAATATAATAATACAGTATACTGTTTGGCCAAAAATAGTCATCGCTAATGTGGGAGGAAGCCTTCATTTATTTTATGGATTGAGTTGATTGTAATGGGGGTTTTGAATTGCAAAGTCCACTGTACAAGATATTATTGTGTTATCCATTGTCTAAACCAGCACTTCGTCACCCAAAGTCAGGTAAAAAAAAAAAAAATAAGGAAAAAAAAAAAAAAAAAAAAAAAATAAAAAAAAAAAAAAAAAAAAGAGAAGAGGCTGACAGGAGATCATGGAGGGGCCAGTCATTGGCCCTTCACAAAGCTCCTACCACAGAGTTTGCAAGGCCTGGATTCATCTGATCCAGCTGACTTTCTGGACTGGATTCATCTAATCCAACTTTCTGGAGCTGATTCATCTGATCCAACTGTCGCCTGAGCGCTTCTTCACGAGGGAGGAACGACAAATAGGTACACAGCGTGGCTGTTCCTTCACACATTTCAACCTCTATCAACTCAAGCTGAACTACTGGGAGGACTGAAAAAGCAATAAACTCACTCATACAGCACACTCACGAACACTCACACGCACACAACACACACACAACACTCACTCACACAGACACTCACTGCGCACACATCTTCACACATTCGCTGCTTCATTCGATTTTATACATCATATAGTTTTAGTGATCTTGTGTTTGTTTTGTTTGACGTTTTGTTATGAAAAGAAAAAGTTAAATTTTCTATCTGGAATAAATTGCCAACAATTTGCCATCAAAATATTATTTCAGATCTGTTTTTATAATTTTTGTAATGGAACAAGTGTGAGATGTTTTGTAGTTGTCACTAAAACAGCAAAAATGCATCTAAAAGTCTCTTTTCTGCTTGATAAGTTCCTGTTTACCATTCAGCTTGCTTTTCTCTGTTTTCTGGCTCACACCAGTGTTGTGGTGAAATATGCTTTGTTCTAATACTCAAGAACGTAAAAGGTAGAAACAGAATGGAGTCATTTATTGAAAAACACAACATCCTAACAATCAATATGGATTTAGAAAGGACAAATCAACTGAACTTGCATTATTGTCTGGACTAGTTTTCCTCCTTTGATCTTCCTTCATGGTCCCAAACAGACGACATATTTGTATTCATCAGTTCATTCATCAATTGATTCTATCTTTTCAACTCGTAAGCGTGGGTCTGGAGAGCCCGTGTGCCCGGACGGGACTTCACCGGCGGGGTATACTCTTGACAGCTGGAACAAGTGGCAGCCCCTCTGTCTGTCGGTCCTGTCTATTGAAGATTCGGAAGACGTATATATCTTTGGCTTTCTGGTGGTGGGAATCCTCCTGTTTGGGTTTGGAGCGGTTCTATTCTACCATAAATTCGGAGGCATGGCAGTTCGCAAGATTCACGACCTGCTGGCCAACAAAATTGATGGGATGTACAAGGAGCTTAACCGAGTCGTGGTTGAGAGCGCTGAAAGCATGTGCAGTAAACCACAAGACAGAGGACATTTTCCATCTGGACTAATACTGTTTGTATGGTATAGTTATGGATAGACGAATCCAACTTGTTCCTGGCTCTAAAAACAGTTTGTTCTATGACTATTTTTCACCTATATTATTTTGGTCTCTGTCAATCTTTAGGTCACAATTTTTTCAGTGAAGTTAAACCTGCACTCTGTATGCAGAAAAGGCGCAAATGTTTAATGTTTTATAAAATGAAACACTCTCTCGAACAAACATCACGTGAGAGGAGGGAAAAGGAAGATATGTTTTAATTAAAACACATTAAACATTTTTCTTTTGCCATACAGAGAGCAAGGTAATTTCACTGAAACCTTTGACCTAAATTGACAGGAGACCCAAAAATATATGTGAAAACTAGTCCATAGAACCAAACTGGTTTTAGAGCAGGAACAAAGTTGGATGTCCTATCCCATAACCCCACCACTACCATCTCAAACAGTTAGTAGTCATATGAAAATGTCCCTGTTCATGAGTATACTGCCAACCTGCTTTCTTCTCATAGTTACCACTCTCGCACTGGAGGTCCTGTAGTCCCGCCATCTTTCGCTTGTACTATTGCCTGGTCGGGGTTCATCTGCTATACAAATCTATGTGAATTCTGCCAGGCGTATTTCGGGGGGGGCGCTGGGGCATGGAATAATGCATAAAAAGATGCAGGGGCGGGGTAGGGTACAGTTATCTGCTAGTTTTAATAATTCAGGAAAAATGGGGGTAGAAGAATTAAAGTCAAGTGAAGTTAAAGAAGAAAGTAAATGATATAATTAGGAATTAAGTGTTATTAGATTATTATTGGGGAAATTTATGAATGGGAAGTAATGTTTGGGTGTTGGTGGTGGTTTTTTGGTTTTTAAGAGATGGGAATTTAAGTGTATTGTAATATCGTTTTTTTTTGAGTATTAATATGTGTAATGGTAATTAGAATGGTATAGGGGGATAGGATTGGGTGGGTAGGGGGGGGGGGATAGTGTTTTGTTTTATTATTTTGGGTGTAGATTTTTAGGGATGATAGTAGTAAGGATTAATAGATAGTGATAGTTTTTTTAGTTTGGGAGGATATTGAGTTATGGGGTTGATTAAAATATGGAATGGGGGATATGGAGAAGGGAATGGGGATATAAAGGTGGGTGTTGTTGGTGGAATTGGGGGTATTGGTTTGTGAGAGTGGGGGTGTGTGAGTGTTTGGGGGGATGAGGTTGTTGAGGGTGAGTGGTGGGTGGTGAAATTTTTTGTATGGGTGTGGGGTGTTCGGTATTTTTTTGATGGGGTGTGAGGATGTTTTTATTGGATTTATGGGATTAGGTGTTAGTGGTGGGTGGGGGGGGGGGGGGATATTATATTGTTTGGTTGGATGATTTGACTAGGTAGTTTTTATGAAATTATTGGTGGGGTGGATTTGTTGTGGGAGTGAGTGTAATGGGGGGGGTTGGGGTTGGGGGGTGTGGGGATGGGGGGTGGTTGGGAGTTGATTGGTATTGAGGATTTTTTGGTAGTGGGGGTTTGGGGTAGGGTATTATGTTGTTTGTAGGGGTTGTAGGTATGGTAGGGAATTAGTGGGTAGATGTTTTGAGAGGGGTGATTTGGTTGTGGGGTTGGGTTGGGGTGTGGGTTGTGTTTGTGGTGGGGTTTGGGATGGGTATGTTAGGGATTTAGTGTTAGGTTTATTTTGGTTTTTTTTTTTTTGGTTTATGTATGGTTTTGGGGAGAGAGGGTGGGTGGAGTGGTGGGGAGGGGGGGTTGGGTATGTTGTGGTATGGTGTTTGGGGTGGGGGGGGGTTGGGGGGGGGGTTGGGGGGGTGGTTGGTGGGGGGGGGTGGGGTGGGTGGGTGGGGGGTTTTGTGGTTTGGTTTGTGGTGAGTGGGTTGGGGGGGTTGGTGGGTGGTGGGGGTTTGTTGGGGGGGTGGGGGGGGGGGGGGTTGGGGGGGGTGGGGGTGGGGGGGGGGGGGGGGGGGGGTTGGTGTTGTTTTTGGGGTGGTGTGGGGGGTTGGTTGTTGGGTGGTTGGGTTGGGGGGGGGGGGGGGGGGGGTGGGGGGGGGGTGGGGGGGGGGGGGGGGGTGTGGGTGGGGGGGGGTGGTGGGGGTGGGGGGGGTGGGGGGGGGTTGGGGGGGGGGGGGGGTTGTGGGTGGGGGGGGGGGGGGGGTGTGGGTGTGGGGGGGGGGGGGGGGTGGGTGGGTGGGGGTGTGGGGGGTGGGGGGTGGGGGGGTTGGGTGGGGTGGTGGGGGGGGTTGGGGGGGGGTTGGGTGGGGGGGGTGGGGGTGGGTGGGGGGGGGTTGTGTTGGGGGGGGGTGTTGTGGTTGGGGGGGTGGGGGGGTTTTGTTTTGTTTGTGGTGGTTGTGTGTGTGTTTGGGGGTGTGTGTGTGTGTGTGTGGGGTGTGTGTGTGTTTGTGTGTGTGTGTGTGTTGTGGGGGGGGGGGGGGGGGGTGGTTGGTGGGGGGGGGGTGTGTGGGGTGGGGTGGGGGGGTTTGGGTTGGTTTGGTTGTACAGTTGGTGGGGGGGGGGGGGGGGGGTTGGTGTGGGGGGGGGTTGGGGGGGGTTTGGTAGAGTGGTGTATAGTGGTGGTGTGGGGGGTGTTTGGTTGGGGGGGGGGGGGGGGGGGGGGGGTGGGGGGGGGGGTGGGGGGGGTTGGGGGTGGGGGGGTGTTTTCACATAGTGGTGAGGACATATACATGGTTGGGAGTTGGGGGGGGGATTTGGGTTGGGGTTTTGGGGTTGTGTTGGTGGGATGTGGGTTGGGTGGGGTGTTTGATGGGGGGGGGAGGGGGGGGGTGGGGTTGGTTATAAGGGGGGAGGGGGGGGGGGGAAGGGTGTTTTAGGAGGGATGAGATGGGGAATTTTGAGGAGAATTTTTAATATGAGGAGAATGATATAGTAATGTAGAGAGTAAAAAGTGGTATATTAATATGGGGATGTTTTGGTAGGGTTATGAGAGGGTTATGGAGTTTTGTTAGAGATTTGGTATTGTTATTGTTTGGGGTTGTGGTTGGTTTTAGTAGGGGGTTATTTATTGGGGGGTGGGGTGGATAGGTTTGTTAGGGGGTTTTAGTGGTATGTTGTTTTGGGTATATATTGGTTATTTGTTGGTTTGGTGTTTGGGGGTGGGGGTTTTTGTTTGTGGGGGTGGTGGGGGTTGGGGTTTTTTTTTGGTGGGGGGGTTTGGTTTGGTTTTGGTTTGGGTGTATTTTATGTGAAGAAGTGTGTTATACAAGTTGGGGGGTTTTGTAGTAATGGGGTGTTTTTTTGGGATGGTTTAGTATGGGGGTGTATGGGGAGGAAGTTTGTTATTTTGGTTTGGGTTTGTGTTGGTTTGATTATTTTGTTATTGTATGTGGTTTGTTGTGGGTTGTTGGGTGTGTGTGATTGGTGGGTTGTTTTTTTGGGTTGTGTTTTTGTTTTTTTGAGGGTTTTGGTTGGTTAGAGGGGTGGTGATGTTATATTTGTGGTTTTGATGGTGGGGTTTTGTGTGTAGTGTTGTGGGTTTAGTGTTGGTGGGTGGGTTTGGGTGTGGGTAAGAGGTTTGGGGTTTGGTGGGTGGGGGTAGGATGTGAGGGGGGTTGTAGTGAGGGTTTATGGGGGATTAATAGGTTAAGGAGAGGTTGAGGGTTTTTATTGATATGGATTATGGTTGTGGGGGTGTTTTGTGTTTGGATAGGGGTTGGGGTAAAGATGGGTGTATTTTGTGTTTGGGGGGGGGATGTATTGTTTTGGGGGGGGTTTTGTGGGTTTGGTTGGGTATGGGTTGGGGGGTGTTTGGTGTGGGGTTGGGTGTGGTTTATTTTGTTTAGGTTTTTTGGGGGGGATGTGGGGGGGGTTTTATAGTTGGTGGGGGGTATTGGGGGTTTTGTGGGTGTTTGGGGTGTGGTTTTGTTGTTTGGGGTTTTTGGTTTTGTGGGTGGGTGTGGGTGTGTTTGGGTATGGGTGATGTGGGATGAGGGTAGTGGGTATCTTTAGTTTGTTATGTGTTTTTGGGGTGGGGTGTTTTTGGTTATTTTTTTGTTGTGGTGGGGGTTTAGTTGGGTTGGGGGGGTTGGTGTTTTTTGGGTGGGTTGTTGTTTTTTGTGGTTGGGTGGTGTGGGGTTGGTGGGGGGGGGGTTGGTTATTGTTGGTTGTTTTTGTGTGGTATTTGGGGGGGGTTTATATGGGTTTGTTTGTAGGGGGGTTTTTGTTTGGGGGTGTGTGGTGTTGGGTGTGGTTTTTGATGAGTTTTTGGAGTGGGGGGAGTGGAGTGGTGAGATTTAGGATTAGTGTTTGGTGATGGTATTGGGGGTGGGGGGTTTGGGGTTTTTGTGTTATTGGGGGGTTGGTTATAATGTGGGGGTGGTGTGGGGGGGGGTGGGTGTGGGGGGGGGGTGGGGTGTGGGGGAGGATGGGATTTGTTTAGTTGGGGTATGTTATTTAGGTAATTGTAGTTTGGGGGGGGGGGGTGGGGGGGGGTGGGGTGGGGGGGGGGTGGTTTAGGTGGTTGGGGGTTTAGTGATGGGTTGTGACTATTCAGTGGGGGGAGGGTTTGTGGTTGGGGGTGATGGTTGTTGGTGGGGGGGAATTATGATGTAGGTTGGTAGTGTGTGTATTTGGTATAGGGTGGGTTATGGGTTTTGGGTGGTGTATGGAGTGGGTGGTAGAAGTGTTTTGGTAGAGAGGTTTGGGTTGAAGGGTTGTTGTTAAGTGAGGTTGTAGGTAAAAGTAATAGAGGGGGGGGGAAGATGTGGAGGGAATTAAATGGGGTAGGGATGGGGTGGTGGTATTAGGGGGGGGGGGGTTAGATAGGGTGGTGGTTTTGGTTTTATGTTTGTGGGGGTTGGAGGGGGTGGGGGAGTATGAAGAGATAGTGAATATATTAGAGGGTTTGTTGGGGGTGGGGGTTTTGGGGGGTGGGTGGTTTAAGATAAGGGATGTTGTGTGTGTTTGGGGAGGGTGGGGGGATTTGGGGGGGGGGGATGGTGTTTGGGTGTTTTGGTTTAGGAGGATTGTTTTTTGTGGTGGGTGTAGGGTTGTTAGTGTGGAGGGGGGATTTTTTGGAAATATTATTGGATTGGGGGGTGGTATGAAGGGGGGTTTTTTTGGTTTGGTGGGTTTTGGTTATGTTTTTTAATGTTTGTGGGATGGGGGGGGGTGTTAGGGGGGGAAATGGTAATATTGGGGTGTGTTTGTGGTATAGGTCACTATGGGGGATGGATGGTTAAGGAGTGTTTTGTGGATGTAGTTTTTTATTTTGGGTTTTTGGTGGTTGGTGGGGAGGTGGGGGGGGTTTTTTTTGTTTTGGTGTGTGGGGGGGGAAATTGTGGGGGTGGAGTTTGGGTGGGGGGGGATTTGATTTTTTTTGTTGTGAGGAGGGGTGTTATGATTTATTGAGTAGAGGTTTGTTGTGATGTGTTGTTGTTTTTGTTGTGTTGTTTGGGGGGTTGTGAGGGGGTAGTGTTGGGATGGGGGGTAGAGTGTAGTGTGGGTTGGGGATTTGTTTATTGTGGTTGTTGGGTGGGTGTAGTGGTTGTTGATTTTGTGGAGTGGGGGGGGTTTGTTGTGATGTGGATTTGGGGGAGTGATGTTATTTGTTTTTTGTTGATTTGTTGGTAGTTGGGTGTGGGGAGGGGGGAATAGAGGGTGTTTGGTGGAGTGGGGGGTGTGTGTGGGTGGTGGTTTTTGGATTATGTGTTATATGAGGGTTATATTGGTGTTTGTGTTTTTTAGATTTGTTTATGGGATAGGGGTAAGTAAGAGGGTGGAGATCATGGGGGTGGTTATGGTTTTTGGTGGGGGGGTGGTATTTTTAGGTTGGTGGGTATATGTGGTTGGGGGGGTATATGGGGGGGGGGGGGGGATATGTTGGGAGTATGCGCAGTTGAATGGGGTAAATTGAATCTTGAGAACACAGTACACGGAGGTTGTTATGTTGGTGGGAAAGTAAGGGTGTTGAGTGTGTTAGGGGGGTTTTGTGTTTTGAAAGGGGATGGTATTAGGGTTGGTTGGTGGAGGGTTGTGGGGGTTATAGGGGGGGTTGGGGGAGTTTGTATTGTATGTTTGTGGTGGGGGGATTTATTTTAATGAATTGTTTTGGAGTATTGGGGGTAATTGGATGGGGGGGGTATTTATTTAGATTTTGGGGGGGGGGTGTGGGAAGGGGGGGAGATTATATTTAATAGGTGTGAATTGTGTGGTTTTGTTTGTTGGTTTGATGAATTATGTGGTAGGGAGTTTGTTGTGGTGGGGGTAATTGGAAGTTTTGATTAGGGTTTTTTAGTGGGAAGGATGTGGTGATTTTGGTGGGTGGATTGGTGTGTTTGGGTTTGGTATGGTTGAATGGGTGGTGTGAGGGATTTGGAGATGGGGATTGATGTGGGGTTTGGTTATTGAATTTTGGGTTGGGGTTGTTTGGTTTATTTTGGGGGGTGGGTGTGTTGGATTTTAATGGGTTTTTATTGGGGTTGGGTGGGGGGGGGGTGTTTTTTGTGTGTGGGGTGGGTGGGGGGGTGTTGGGGGTGTGTGGATTGGGGGGGTTTGGGGTTTTTTGTTGTTATTGGTTGTTTGTTTATTTTTTATATTTTTTAAGAGTTTTGTTGGTAGTTGGGTTTGTTGTTTTGGGGTGGTTGGGGTTTGGGTGTTTTTGTGTTATGTGGGGGTTTTTTTGGTTGGGTGGTTGGGGGGGGGGGGGGGTTTTGTTAATTTTTTTTTTTGTTTGTGGGTGGGGTGTTTTTTTTTGTTGGTGGGTGGGTGTGGGTTGGTGGGGTGTGGTGTGTGGGGGTTTTGTGGGGTGTTTTGGGGTTGGTTGGGTTTTGGGTTGTGTTGTTGTGGGTGGGGGAGTTTGGGTTGATGGTTTTGGTGTGGTTGGTTTATGGGTTGTTGTGGGGGGTGGGGGGTTGGGGGGGGGGGTGGTGGGTGGGGGTGTTGTGGTGTTTGTGTTTTGTGTTTTGTGTTTTGGTTTTGTTTTTTTGAGTTTTTTTTTGTTGTGTTTTGGGTTTGTTTTGGGGGGGTTGTGTGTTTATTTTTGGGGGGTGGGGGTTGTGGGGGTTTGGGGGTTGTTGTTTTTTGGGTTGTTGTTTGTTTTTGGGTTTGGGTGTTGTGGTGGTGGTGGGTTGTTTTTGTTTTGGTGGGGTTTTTGGTGGGGTGGGGGGTGGTGGTGGGTTTGGGGGGGTTGTTTTGGGTTGTGTTTGTGGTTTTTGGGGGTTGGTTTTTTGGGTGTGGTGGGGTTATTTGTTTTGTGTTGGATTTTTTTTGGTGTTTTTTTTGGGTTTGGTGGTGTGTTGGGTGTTTGTTTTTTGGGGGGGGGGGGGTGTTTTTGTTTGGATTTTTGGGTTTTGTGTGTTTTTTGGGGGGGGTTTGGTGGTGTGGGGGGGGGGTGGGGGTGGGGGGTGGGTGTGTGGGTTTGTGGGTGGTGGGTAGGGGGGGTGTTGTTTGTGGTGGGGGGTTGGGTTTGGTTGTTTGTGGTATTGTGTTTGTGGTTTGTTGTTGGGTTGGGTGGGTGGGGTTGTTGGTTGGGTGGTTTTTGTGTGGGGTTGTGGGGGTGTGTTGTTTTTGGGGTAGTGTGGGTGTGGGGTGGTGTGTGGTGGTTTTATTTTTTGGTGTGTTGGTGGTTGGTTGTGTTGTGTGGTTGGGGGGGTTTTGTTGTGTTGTGGTGGTTTGTTGGGGGGGGGGGTTGGTTGGGGTGTGGTGTTTGTGTGTTTGGTGTGTTGTGGTGGGTGTTGGGGGTGGTGTGGGTGGTTGTTGGTGGGTGGGTATTGGTTGGTGTTTGGTGTGTTTTGTGGGTGTTTTAGTTTTTGTGTGTTATGGGTGTTTGTGGTGTTGTGTGGGGTTTGGGTGGGGGTTGTGTTGTGGTTGGGGTTATTGATTAGGTTTTTAAGGTGTGATGGGTTGTGGGTTATTGGGGTTTTTTTTGGGGGGGGGGGTTTTGTAGTTGATTGTTGGAAAAGGGGTAGGAGTGATTGGGATGGGATTGGGATTATTTTGAGTATAGGGTTATGAGATTGGTTGGTGTGGGTATTGATTGTATGTTGGGGGTTTATTTTGAGAAGTGAGTGGGTAGGAGTGGTAAAAGGGAAGAAAGGTTGGATGTTTGTTTTTTGTATTTTTGAGATGTGGGTGTTAGAGAAGAAGGTTAGAGTGATATAAGGTGAAAATTGGTGGGAAGGGGGGGAGTTGAAAGGAATAGGGAGGAGATGTTGATTGGGGTGAGATATGGAGGGACGATGTGGATGGATTTGTGGAAGAGGGGATTTTGGGGTGTGGGTTTGGTTGTTGGAGATAAGGGGTTTATATGGGGTTGAGGGTGTAGATGGAGTGGTGAAGGTAAGGGGGGGGAAAGGTGGATTAGTTGAGGGTGGATTGGTGGATTTGGGATTTGTGTTTTTGTGTATTATGGGAAAATAGGAAGTGTGGTTTAATTGGGGTGGATATTGAAGGGGGAGGTGTAAGAGGGGGGGAAGTTAAGGGGGTGAGAGAATGATGAAAGGGGGGAGGGTGAGGGAGAGGGTGAGGGTTTGTTTGTTTTTTTTGTATTATATATTATTTGGAGTTTATGGAAGGATATTTTAGAGGGTGGTAGATAGAGGGATGGAGGTGGAGGAGGAATAAAGGAGGGTTTGGTGGAAATTTTAGTGATGTGTGGGGTTTAGTGGAGTGATGGGAATGTGGGGGGAGAGGGGAGGGGTGGTAATGTGTGAGTTTTATGTGGGTTTTTTTAGTTGTTGAGTGAGTTTAGGGGGGGGGGGAGGGATGACGTGCTTGGAGGGGGGAAGTGTGGATGGAACGGCTGGTGGATATGGTAATTTTATTGGGGGGGTTAATGTTGGGAGGGATATGAAGGAAGAGATTAAGTGTGTTGGGTATTAGGGTTGATTTGGGGTGGTGAAGTATGTGGATTGAGTGGTGTGATGGGGGGGGGAGGTTATAAGTAATGGGGTGGAGTGTGGAGTTGAATTTGGGATTGGAGTATAGAGTTTTGGAATTTTTTTAAGTTTGTATTATGGGGGAGTTAAATTTGTATGGATTTTGGAGGGGTTTGGGTGTGGTTTGAGATGGGGGGGAGTTGAGTTGATATGTTTATTGGGGATGTGTGTTAATGGATAAGTTGGGGTTTATTGATGGGTATTTGTGAGTTTTTAAGGGGATGTTTAGGTTTGGTTAGGGTGAGTAAGGGGTTGGGTTTGTAGGGTGGGTATTTGTGGTTGGTTTGGGAAGGGGTAATAGGTTTGGTAAGGGATTTTTTGTTGAGAGTGGGGGGTTTATGAGGGGGTTGATGGGGTGAGTTAATTTGGGTAGATTGGGTGTAGATTTATAGGTGATGAGGGTATTTGGAATGTAGAAATTGGGGGTGGGAGGGGGTTATTGTATGTGATTGTGTAGTGGGGGATGGAGGGGGGAGGGGGATGATTTTGATAGTGGAGTTGGTGGGTTGATGTTATTTGAATGTTTTATATATATGGAGGAGAATTGTGGTTTGGAGCGAGATGAGGGGTTATTTTATTGGGGAAGGTTTGTGGGTTAGTGGTTTTAGGAGAGTATGGTTTTGGATTTTTTGGTTGGTGTTTGTTATTTTGGATATGGATGGAGGAGGGAATAAAGGTGTTAGGGTGTTTGTGGGGGGGGAAATTTAGGTTGTGGGGTTTTTAGATGAGGGGGGGTGTTATTGTTATGGTAAGGGAGGAATTGGGTGATAGATGTGAGGGGATTGTTGATTGGTGGTGTGGGGGTTAGTGGGGGGTGGTGGTGTTTTGGGGGGGTTTAAGGGGAGGGAGTGGGGAGGTTGGGTGTTGTAGAGAGTGTTAATATGAGATAGTTGGGATTATTGTTTTATTTTATGATTTTGATAGGATGGGTGGAAGGGGGTAGGGTGGGTTTATTGGGGTAATGTGGGTGTAGGTGGGAATATTGTTTAGTGGGGGTGGTGGATAGTGAGTTAGTTTTGTAGTGGGGGTGGAGGTATATGATTAAGTGTAGAAGAGTTGAATTGTATGGTGTGAGAATGTATTGGGATTGAGTGGAGTGGTGGTGAGTGTGTGTGTGAGTGGTGAGGTATGGTTGAGGGGGGGGTGTTAAGTGGTGGGAGAAGGGGTTGGGGGATATTATAGGTTTGGTTTGTAAAAAATGGAATTTTTGTTTGGGGTGGGATGGGGATTATAATTTTGGTAGTTGTAGGGTAAAATGGGAGGTGGGGAGAGAAAGGAGTGTGTTGGTTGGTAATGTAATAAAGTGTATTTAAGGTAGTGTAGAAAAGAGTGGGGGATGAATTGTGTTTTATGATGAGGGGGGGTTGTAGGGAATTGATGGAGAATGGGTGAAGAAAGTGAGGGAAATATTGGATGTGGGGGAGTGGGGAATTTGTTAGATGGGGGAAGATTTAATGTTGTAGGGGTGAAGGTATGGGATGGGGTGAGGGATGAGTTTTTATTTATGGTGTTATATTTTTAAAAAGGGAAGAGAGGAATGTGAAAGGGATTGGATTGAATTGGGGGGTTTTACATGGTAGATGGGTATGTAGGGGGGGATGATGATTGAGGGGTGAAGTTGTATGTAGGATTTTTGTGGTGGTGATTTTGGGTATAGAAAAGTTGGGGTGGGGTATTTATATTTGGGGGAAGAAGAAATGGGGTAAGGAGATAAGAGGTAAGTTGATTGGAAGTATTATATGTGGTGAGAAATGAAGGATGGAGTGGTGGGATGATATGTGGGTAGGGAAGATGTGGTATGGGAGATGTGGTAGATGAAATGTTTAGTAGTGGAGTGTTGGTATAAGGGATTGTTTGAGGATGAGGGTTGAGAGTGTAGGTATATGTGAGGGTATTTTTTTTGTTGTGGAATGTATATGGTTTTTGTATGTTTTTGGGGGGGTTTGAATTGGAAGGATGAGGATATGATAATATTATATAGATATTATATAGATATATAAATAGTTGGGGAATGGGGGGTTGGCTTAGTGGGTTGGGTATGTAATATTTATGTGTTATGTATATTATGTGTATGTATATTTATGTTTGTTATTATTATTTGGAAGGGTTGGAGGTTAGGGGGGTGTGGGTGAATGGAATTGTATTGGGAGATTAGTGGGGGTGTGGGATAGGATTGAAGGATTTATGGGATTTATTGGGGGGTGTTGGGGAAGTTTTGTGAATTGGATTAGGGTGGGGTTTAATAGGGAGGGTAGAGAGGGGATATTAGGGGGAAAAAGTGTGTGGGTTGGGTAGAGGGTAGGTTATTTTTTTAGATGAAGGATTGTTTGGTGGGAAAAGGGGGGGGGGTTTGAATGGGATGGAATGTTTTTGGTTTGTTGGGGGGATTTAGGGTTGTAGGATAAATGGGGGGTAGGATGGGGTTTTTGGGAATGGGGAGTGGGGGGGGGGGTAGGATAAATTGATGGGAGATTTTTTAGGAAATTATGGGGTGGATTTGTATGTTGTAAAGTTGGGGTGAGTTGGGTGAGTGGGGGTTTGTTTAGGATGTTTTTGGGATTTTTGGAAAGTGATGAAGGGGGGATTAATGGTTATGGGGGGAGGATTTGGGGGTGGTTTTTAATTGTGATAAGGGTATTTTGGATTTGAACACTGTTATGGGGATTTAGGGTTGGGAGGTTAGTTTTATTTAATGGGGGGGGTAGTTTGGATGAAATGGTTTTAGATGTGAGAGGGATGATAATAGGGATAGGGGGATGGGGTGTGGGTGTTTGTTGGTTTAAGTGAATAGGTATTGGGGGTTTTATATGAGTGTTTGTGAATGGTAATTTGATGAGATTTTGATGTTGGATTTTAAGGAGAAGAGGAGTGTTAGGTTTTGTTGTTATTGGGATTTTGTTAAATAGTGGGTTTGTTTTAGGGAGGGGGAGTTAGAATGGGAGATGAGTTTATTTTGGATTGGTTTGGGTTATGGGGAGGTGTTAGTGATGATAGTATGGGGGGGGTGTTGTAAGTTGGTAATTATTTGGGGGTTTGTGGGTAGGTTGTTGAGAGGGGATGGGGGGGGGAAGGGATGGTTTTGGGTAAGGGAGGGGGGAGATGGGTGGAATGAATAGAGATTTGGAAGTTGGTGGGAGGGGTAGATGGGAGGAGGGATTGGGATGGGGAGATTTGGAATTGGGAGGGGGGAGAATGAGGGGGAAGATATTGTATATTGATAGTTGGCATAGTATTAGGGATTGTTGATAAGGAGGAGGAAGGGATTGATAGGGAGATGGAGGGAGGGGGGGGAGATGGGGGGGGAAGGAGAGGATGGGGTGGGTATATTAGGAGGAAAGATATGTTAGAATAGAGGGGGGGATTTGGAGGGGAGGAGAAAGTGGGGGTTGTTTTGGGGTGGGTAGGTGTGGGAGGAGATTGGGAGGGTAGTGGATGGAATGGAGATGGAAGGGGAGGAAAATGGGGGGTTTTAGGGGTTAAGGATGTGGGGGATAGAGTGAGAGAGAGAGTGAGTAGGGGGGATTATGGGGGGGGTTTTTGGGTTTTTTATTTGGGGAGATTTTTTATGTATTTGTGGGGGGGTTGGTTTTGTAGTTTTTTTGGGTGGTTTGGTGGTATTGGATTTGTTAATTTTTGTTGGTGTGGTTATGGGGTTTATTGTTGAGTTTTATATTGGAGAGGTTTAGGGGTGAAGTATAAGTGGGGGGAATTTGGGGTGTTGGATAAGTTGTGATGGAGTTAGGGGTGTGATAATTTTGGTGGTTTTTTAGGGGGAGTTATTGGGTGTGTTTTTTGTTTTTTTTTGTTGAAGAGGGGTTTGAGTTAATTTGTAGGTGAAGTGGTAGAATGGGTATGGTTAGGTTAGGGGTGTTTGGGGTTGGGGAGTATTTTTTGGAGGGAGATATGTTGTTATGTGTGTGTTTTTTGTATTGGTTTTTTGGTTTTGGGTTTTTTATTTAGTGGGTGGAATTTTTATTTTGTTATTGGTAGTGGGATATGGTATTGGGGGGTTTGATGTGTTTGGGGGAATAGTTTTAGGTATAGGTATGGGTGAAGGTTGTAGGTTGTTGGGTTGTATGGTAGTGGGAGGTTTGGTTGTGATTTATTGAGAGTGGGGGGGGGGGGTGAGTGGGTTGTGGTTTTTTGGTATTTGTTTTGTTGGTTTGTAGGAATGTTAGGTGATGGTAGAGGATAGGGGTTTAGTAGTGTAGTATGGAATTTAGAAGGGGGAAGAAGGTAGATGTATGGTGGTTGATTTGAATTATGGGGTTTTGTAGTTGGGGGAGTGGGAGGGAGGGGTTTGTTAAAGGGGGGGTGTTTGAAAGAAAAAAGGAGGGTGGGTGGTGGTGGTAATTATAGGATGTAAATTATTTAACACTCCTGGCACGAGAGTAGATATCTTGGAAGTGGTGGGGATAGTTGTGAGGGGGAAGAGAGATATTGGGTGAAAAGTTAGGGTAAGAGTGATAGGGAGGGGAGTAAGAGGGGTGGGAATTAGAGTTATTTAGTAATATAAGATTGTGATTATATTTTAAGATATGTGTAAGATGTGTTGGGAGATGTGTTTAAGATTGGTAGGAAGGGAATGGAATGTGATGGGGGTGGGGGAGGGGGGGGGGGGTGTGTTTTATTGGTTAATGGGGGTTTTTTTGTGGGTTGGATAGGTATGTTTTGGGATATGTAGGGGGATATTGTTGGGTGGGTGTATAGGTTGATTGTTGTGTATTTGTGGGTGATGGGGGTAAGAAATGGATGGGGGTATGGGGTTTGGGGAATTGGGTTGATTTTTGATTGGGTATAGAGTATTGGTATTTTTTGGATGATGTTTTTATTGGTGGGTTTTTTTTTTTGTGGAATGGGTTGTTATAGATACACAGCTTGTGTGTGTGCGAGTGAGTAGGTTGGTTTTGTTTTGGGGATTATTATATAATTATTGTTAGTTGTTGTGTTAGGTTTGGATTGGTGTTGGGTTGTGTTGAATGGTTGGTTGTGGGTTTTATTTTTGAAAGGGTGTGGGTGGAGTGATATAATATGTGTTGTGTGTATGGTGTGTTATATATTGTGTTAGTTGGTATGTGGAATATTGGTGGGATTTTTGTGGTGATAGCATGTGGGATTTTTATGGGCTTTTGGTGATTTATTTTGGTGTTTTATGGGGTTGTTTGTGAGTTTTTTGTTGTGGGGGAGGTGAGTGGGTGGGGGGAAGGTGGTGGTGTGTTAGTGTGGTGGTTTGGGGTGGAGGGGAGTGGGTATTAAAGATTTGGAGTGTAAGGGTTGTTGGTGTTGGTATGTAGAGGGGGTGTTTTGTTGGTTGGGGGTTGTATTTTGGAAGGTTGTTGGGATTTTTGGTAATTATATATGTATTAGGGGATAGATTTGGGTAATGTTGGGAGGTGGTGTGTGGGGAGTGGGTGTTTTTGGGGGGAGGGTTGGAGGTAGGTTGAGTGTAAAATATGGGAGGGGGGTGTTGTTTATTGGGTTAAGGGATGGGTGTGATGGTGTTGTGGGTTTTAAGGGATGTTGTATGTGTGGGGTTGATTGAAGTAATGGGTGTAATGAGTTTGTGGGGAGTATTTATGGTTAGATAGTGGTTGTTTAGTGGGGTTTGTTTGATGGGGATGGTAATGGTATTGGTATGGGATTAGGTAGTTTGTAGGGGGGGGGTGGGGTTGGGGTGGTTGTATTGAATTAGGGAGGAAGTATTTTTTATGGGGGGAGTGTAGTGGGATATGTGTGGGGGGGGAGAGGGATTGAGGGTGGGGGATTTGGGGGATGGTTTTGGTAAGAGAGAGGGTGATTTTTTTTGGGGTTGGGGTGGTGTTGGTTTTATGAGAGAGATATTATTATTAGTGTGGTGGGTTTTGTGTTGTGGGGTGGTTGGGGTGTTTTAATTGGTTTAGGGGAGGGGATGTATGTTGATGGTTGGGGATAGTTTTTGGGGTAAGTTTGTGGGTGGGGTATGGTTATTTTTTTTGTGGGTTTTTATGATGTTTATTTTAGGGGGTTTGATATTTTTTGGGTGGGGGAATTTTTGTTAGAGTAATGTATTTATGTGGTGATTGGTTTTGGAAGAGGGATTGGTGTGTTAGGATAGAGGGAGGATTATGTGGGAATAGGAGAAAGGGTGGAAGGGTGGAAGAATGAGGGAAAGGGTAGAAGGGAGGGTAAGAGAGGGAATTAGAGTGTAGGAGGAATGTAGGTAGAAAGATGTAGAAGAATTGATTGAATAGGGAGTAGGGGGAGGGTGGTGATTTTATATATTGGGGGGTTTGGATGGTTTATAAGTTTGGAGATTATTGGTGTGATTTTGTATTTTGTGTTAGTATGATTTGTTGGGGTAAGGAGTAGATGGAGGTGGGTGGGGGGTTGGGGGTTTGGGAGATATAAGGGATGGGAAGGGAATTTATGTGTGTTGGAGGATTATTGAAGGGAAGGAGAAGGGGATTGGAGAAGATGGGGTAGGGGATAGTGTTTTGTTGATTATTGGGGAGATTTGTAGGATAGATTAGTTGTAGATTTTTAGATGTATTGTTTTTTTATGTGGAGATAGGGAGGTAGGGGGGATATGGGGAAGGGGGGAATTGGGGAAGGAGGGGATATTAAGTGTTTTGTGGTGGAATTGGGGTATGGTTTGTGAGAGTGGGGGGGTGTGAGTGTTTGAGTGAGGTGTTAGATGGGGTTTGAATTATTGTTTAATGTGTGGAGGTACACATCTGAGTATTTTTTGATTGGGTGTAGATTATTTTTATTTGATTTATGTTATTAGGTGGGTTAGTGGTGGTTGGGGGGATATTTATATTTTTTGTTGTGATTGATTCGTTGTGTGGGGTTTTTATGGATATTGTGTGGGGTGGATTTTTGGGGGGGGGAGTGATTGTAATGGGTGGTTTGGGGTTGTGGGGTTGTTTGATGGGGTGGTTGGGAGTGAGGTATTGAGGATTTTTGAAGTGGTGGGGTATTTATGTTGTTTTGAAGTGGATGTAGTAGGTAGGAATAGAGGGGTTAGAGTTTTGAGATGAGATGGAATTGAAGAGGTATTGGGGAGGAAAAGGTTGATATGATGGTTGGATTTGGAAGGGAGATGGAAGTGGATTAGTGTTTATTTAATTTGATATTTAATGGTATATGTATGGTATATGGAAATTATTGAGATGGTTAGTTTTGTTTTACAAGAAGGACTAGGAGGTGAGTGAGAGTGAGTGGTAGGTGGGAAGTGGTGGAGTGAGGTGTGTGGGTAGATTGTAAAGGAATATAGGGAGTAAAGAGGGTTATGGGGGGGTAAGGAGGGAGATGTGTGGGATATTATGTGGTGTGTTTTTGTGTTGTGTTGGTGTGTTTGTGGTTTGGTGATGTTGTGTGTGGTGTTGTTTTTTCAATGTAAAAAGGGAGGTTTTTTTTGGGGGGTATGGGTTTATTTTTTAATTGGTTGGTTTTGGGGGTGGATTGATTGTTTTGAGTTGTTGGTGTTTTTTGGTGAAGAGGGGAGGTGTGTATGGATGGTTTGTGTATGGTGGGGTTGGGGGGAGAGTGAGGTTTGGTTGGAAGGTTGTGATAGGTTTGATTTTTTTTTTTTGTTTGTGTGGAAGGGAGGGTAGTGGTAATGTGGTTGATTTGTGTTGGGAATGGGTAGGGTAGGTGGGTTGGTGTTTTGTTTGGGTAGGGTAGGTGTTTTTAGGGTAGTAGGTGGGTTTTAAGGGGATAGGTTTAGTGATGGAGGAAGGGGGGAGTGGAAAAGAAAAGATAAGATGGAGGAAGAGAGAGAGAAAAAGGGAGAGAGAAGATAGAGAGGGAAGATATGAGAGAGAGATAGAGGGAGAGAGAGAAGGGGTTGTTTTTGGGGGGGGGGGTTTTTGTAAGGGTTATAAGTGTGGTAGGAGCATGTTGAATGTTGATAAGTTAAGGTGGGTGGTGTGGGTTTTGGATGGTGGGGTTGGTGTGGGGGGTGAGAATTGGAGTATTTATTGGTGGTAAAGTATGGGTGGGTGTGTTTTGGTTTTGGTGAGTTGTTATTGTGTAGGGGGGGGGTTTTTGTGGATGGTGTGTAATTGGGGGTTGATGTTTGGGGGGTCAGAATTTGTAATGTTAAAATGTTAAATATTAATTATGTCATAGGTTTATTTTGAATTGTAATTAATCATATGGGTTCGTATGGTAATTAAACACATCTTTGGTTTTGTCTGTTGTGTTTTTTAACAGTAGAAAAATTAGTGTATGTATATTTTGGATATAATTTAGTAGGAAAAAAGAAAGATATAGGGAGAAAGATGATAGGTAAGATGAGTAAAAAAAGTTGATATAAAAAAGGGGGGATGGATTTGTAGGATGATTAGGGGAGATGGATGATTTAGTATATAGTTGTTGTAATATAAGAATAATGTTATTGGGTGATGTAATGTAGTGGATATTAAAGTGGGGGTGTGGTTGGGGTGATAGGTGTTGTTAGGTGGGGGTTTACGATATTTTGTTGTTGGGTATATATAGGGTGTATTGTTTGTATTGTGTTTGGGTGGTTTGTTTTTGTTGGGTGTGGGGTTTGTTGTTGTTTGTTTGGGGTGGGGTGTTTGTTGTTGTGTTTTTGTATGGGTTATTTGTATGTGGTATAGGGGTGTATTTGTATGGTTTGAGAATGGGTGGGTTTTGATTGTATTGTTAGGTATGGGTGGTAGGGGGAGGGAAGTTTGGTGGTATATATATGTTTGGGTTTGTGTATGTATGGGGATTATTTAGATATGGTTATGTGGTTGGATGTGGGTATATGGTAGTGGGGATTGAGGGGATGTTATAATTGGGTGAGTTGGGGTTTGGGGTTGTTTGGGGTTTTGAGGTTTTGGTTGGATAGAGGGAGGGTGGGATTGTTGTATATTGGGTGTGGTGTTAGTATGGTGTGGGTTTTTGTGTGGGTGGAATGGTGGGTTTTAGTGGGTGTGGTGGGGTTTGGGGTGTGGTAGTGTTGGGGGTGTTGGGGTGGGGGGGTTGGGATGGTGAGGGGTTGGTTTTGGTGGGGGTTTGGTTGGGGGGGGGTTTAAGAGTTAAGGTGGAGAGTGGTTGGGTTTTTATGATATGATATGGTTTTGGGGGGAGTGTTTTGGGTAGGTGGGAGGTGGGTTTTGGTAGAGGGGGATGGGTGTGTATTTTGGGGGGGGGGGGATTGTATGGGTTTGGGGGGGGTTGGGGTGTGGACTTTGTGATGGGTAGGTTGGGGAGTTTGGGGTGTGGGGTGATGGGAGGTGTTATATGTTAATTATTGGGGGGGGTTGTGGGGGGTTTTATTAGGTGGGTGGGTATGGGGGGGTTTGAGGGTGGTTTGGGGTGAGGAATTTGTGGTGTTGGTTTTTTTGGTGGTTTTGGTGGGAAGGGGTGTGTTTTGGGGGGATGGGGTGTTTATGGTGGGGATTGGGTATTTTTTTTATGTTATTGGGGGATGGGGGAGAAAATGGGTTGTTTTTTTGGGGGTTGGTTTGGGGGGGTTTGTTGGGTTTGGGGGGGGTTGTATTTGGTGGGTTTGTTTTTTTGGGTTTTTTTGGGTGGTGTGGTGGTTGGGGGGGGGGGTTGGTTGGGTTGGTTGTTGTTTTTGTGTGGTTTTGGGGGGATTTTGTGGTTGGGTTTTTGGGGGGGTTGTTTTTGGGTGGGTTGGGGTGGGTGGTTTTTGTGTGATTTGTGGGGGTGGGGTGGTTGGTTGTAGTTGGGGGGATTATGTTTTTGTTTGGTGATGGGGGTTTTGGGGTTGGGGGGGGGTTTGGGTTTGTGTGTTTTTGGGGGTTTGGTTTTTGTTGGGGGGGGTGGGGGGTGTGGGGGGTGGGTGTGGGGGGTGGGGTGTGGGGGGGGGGGTGTTGGGGTTTTGGTTGTTGGGGGTTAGGTTTTGGTGGGGTATTTGTAGTTTGGGGGGGGGGGGGGGGGGTGGGGGGGGGGGGGGTGGGGGGTGGGGTTGTGTTGTGTTTGTGTTGGGGGTTGTTTTTTTGGGGGTTGGGTTGGGGGGTTTTGGGGGGGTTGTTGGGGGGTTGTTGGTGGGGGGGTTTTTGTTGTAGGGGGGGGTTGTTTTGGTTTGGTGGTTTTTTGGGTGGGGTTTGGGGTTGTGGGTTGGTAGTGGGTGGTGGTAGTGGGGGGTTTGTGTTGTGGGTGGGGTGGGGTTGTGTGTGTGTGTTTGTTGGGTTGGGGTTGTGGGTGTTTTGTTTGTGGTGGGGGGATTGTTTGTGGTGGGTTGTTAGTTGAGGGTATGGGGGGTTGTATTTGGGGGGGGGGTTTGTTTGGGGTGGGTGGTTTGGGTTATTTTGTTTGTGGGGGTTGTGGGTGGGGGGTGGTTTGGATGAGTTTGTGGGTTTTTTTATGAGGGATTGGGTGTGGGGGGTGTTATTTGGGGTGGGTGGGTTTTATTTTGGGGTGGTGGTTGGGGTTTGGGGTGGGTGGGGTGGGGGTGGTGGGGGGGGGGATGTGTTTGTGTTTGGTTTTGGGTGGATTGGGTTTTTTGTGGGGGGTGTTGTGTGTTTTGGTGTTTGTGTTGGGGGGGGGGGGGTTTTTTTGTTTTATTGTGTTGGGGTGGTTGTGTGTGGGTTTATTGGGTGTTGGTGGGGGGGGTTTTGTTGAGTTTTTGGTTGGTGTGGGGGTGTTGGGTGGGGGGGGTTTGGGTTTTTAATTAGGGTGGTGTGTTGGGTGGTGGGGAGTGGTGGGGATGGGGTTTTGGGTTTGGTTATATGTTGGTTTAGTTTTTTGGGGGTTTTTTATAGTGGGGGGGGTGGTGGGGGGTGTGGTTGTTTGGTTTGGTTGTTGTTTGGGGGGTTTTGTGGGGGGGGTTGGTGTTTGGGTGGGGGGGGGTTTTGGTGTTTGGTGGTTTGTTGTAGTGGTGTTATTTTGTTGTTGTGTTGATGGTGGGTTGGTTGTTTGTTGTTGGTGTGTTTGTTGTTGTGTTTTGTTTGTGGAGTGAGTGTTGGTTGGGGGTGGTGGGGGGTGGGGTTGTGGGGGTTGGATGTTGTGTTTGTGGTGTTGTGGGTTTGTGGGGGTGGGATTGTTTGTTGGGTGTGGGGGGGTTTGTTGGTGTTGTTGGGGGATTTTGGGGGGTGTTGTTTGTTTGGTTTTTTGTTGTTTTGTTGGGGGTAGTGGGGTGTGGGGGTGGGGGTTTTGTGGTGTTTGGGGGGATGTGGGGGGGGGGTGTGGTGTGGTGGTTGTGGGTTTTGGGTTTTTTGGGTTATTTTGGGGTTTTGTGTTTTTGTGTGTTGGTGTGTTGGGAGTGGTATAGGATGTGGGGTGTTAGGTAGTATGGGGGTTTTTGGGGTTTGGGTGGGGGGGGTTTTTATGTTGAGGTGGGTGGGTATATGTGGTTGGGGTATTTTGTGGGTTTAATGGTGTGTTGGGTATGTTGTTTGTTGGGGGGTGGGGGGGGGTTGGGTTGTTGGTGGGGTTGTGTAGTGTTGTGTGTGGTTAGTGGGGTGTGGGTGGTTGGGTTTGGGTTTTGTGGGGGGGTGGGGGGGAGTGTTTGAGTGTGAGTGTGTTAGGATGGGGGTAGGGTGGGGGGGGTGGTTTGGTTTGTTGGTTTTGGTGGGGGTTGGTTTGTTTTTTTTGGGGGGGGAGTGGTGAGTAGTTTTGGTGTGGGGGGGGGGTTGAGGTTGTTTTTGGGGGTGGGTTTGGGGGAGTTGTGGTTTTAGGTTTGGGTGTGGTTTTTGTGTGGTTTTGGGGGGTGGTTGTTTGTTGATTTTGTTGGGGGGTGGGTTTTTGTGTGGTGGTGGGGGGTATTTGGAGTGTGTTTAGTTTTTTTGTAGGTGTGGTTGGGGGTTTTTGGGGTGGGTTGGTTTTGGGGTGTGTTTGGGTGGTTTGGGGTGGGGTTTTGGGTGGTGGTGGGGTTGGTTGGGGGGGGTTTTTTTGGGGTGTGGGGGGTTGGGGTTGATTGATTTTTTGGGGTTGGGTGTTGGGGGTGTTTTTTGTTGTGTTTTTTATGGGTTTTGTTGGGGGGGTTGGGGGGGTGGGGGGGGGGGGTGGTGGTTTTGTTGGTTGTGGGTTGGGTGGGGGGGGGGGGGTTGGGGTGTTGGGTTGTGGGTTTGGGGGGTGTTTTTTTTGTTTTGGGGGTTGGGTGTGTTTATTTTTTTAGGTTTTTGTGTGGTTGTTGGGGTTGGTGTTTTTGGGGGGGGGGTGGTGTTGGGGTATGGGTGTTATTTTATAGAGGTGGGTGGTTGTTGGGGTTTGTGGTTGGGGGATTTTTTTTGGGGGGGGGGGGTTGTGTTTTTGGTTTTTTGTTGTGTTTTTTGTATGGTGTTGGTGTGTTGTTTTTGTGTGTTGTGGGTGGTGTGTTTGTTAGTGTGGGGTTTGTGGAGAATGTTTTGATTTGTATTTATGTGGGGGTTTGTGTGGTGTTGTGGGGTTTTTAGTGTGGTTGTGGGGTGTGATGGATGGTATGACAATCTATATTGTATGTTTATTTGGTATGATGGGGGTATGATTTGTGGGGGGGGGTTGGTTGGGTTGTGGTTGGTGGGGGGGGGGTGGTGGGAGGGGGTGGTTAGATGATAGATGTGTTAGGTAATGTTAATTTTAGAATTGGAAGGTGGTTTGGGTAGTGAGAAAATGGATAGATAAAATGTTTTTGGTTGTGGGGTTTGTGGGGGTAAGTTTGGGGGGGGTTGTTTGGGGATTGATTGGTTGGGGGGGTGTGGGGTTTGGGGGTAATGGGGTTAGATGTATATTTGGTAGAAGGGATAGATGGTTTTTAAAAATTGGGGTAATGGGGTTGATGTATGTGATGTTTTGTTTTGGAGGGGGGTTTATGGATTGGTGGTTAGGGTTTGTTGTTTATGGGGGTGGTAGTGGTATTGTGGTAGTATTGTTAAGGTTGAGGGGGGGTGATGGTAGGGGTTGGATAATTGGGGATGAGTTGGAGAAAGGGGTATGTAGATATATATATATAAAAAGGTTAGGATAAAAGGTAGATGTTGTAGATGATTTTGAGAAAGAATGGGGTGAAAAGGGGGGGGGGGTGGGGGTGGGATGATGGTATGGGTTAGGTATGGGTTTGATGGAATTGAATAGGAGCAATGGTGTTGAAAATTAGGTTATATGTTTGTAAAGAAATTAAATGCAGATGTTAAACGTGTAGATATCTTGTCTCGCTCTTCGCATCGACTTTGGATACGTCAGCAAAGGAAATATGACTTCCAGCTACCAACTCTGTCCAAGTGTTCCCTATAAATGCATATAGTATACGTGACGTGTTTAAACACCCCTTGCAAAGTATAGTAACACAGAAATGTACAGTCGATATCTCAGCTGATAAAACGGGTTACAGATTGTGAGGGCGTAGTAATGCGAGGAGCCTACACGTCCGCGCACTAACTTCCTCTCCCGAAGATACTCTCTCTCGGCTCACTTCCGGCAAAGAAGCATCGTGACTTGGTAGTACGAGAGAAAGTTAGAGCCGCTACGTCCGCGCACTAACTTCACTCCGTACTACAAGTCACGCTGCTTCTATTGACGGAAGTGAGCGTGAGAGAAGTCCTCCGGAGAGAAGTGTAGTGCGCGGACGGTACGCTCCTCAGATTACTACGCCTCACAATATAGTACCGCGTTTATCCTCTGAGAAAATCTACTGTACATTTCTGTGTTACTATACTTTGCAGTGGTAACACGTCACGTTAACTATATGCATTTAATAGGGAACACGGGAGTGGTGTGGAGGCAGGGGGGGGGGGGGGGGGGGGGGGGGGGTGGAATGAGTTTGATAGTGAAGTTAAATATTTCAATTTGAATGAACGGATAAAAAGGTAGATGAATGAAGTGAAAAGTGATATTAAAGTTAAATGATGATGTTAATTATTATTAAAATAAGTTAACTGAATGTTGAATAATTAGTGAGAATTAGTTATTATGGACACTGATGATAGAAATGTAAGTGCAATGTAAGGTAGGTAATATTTTAAAATAATATGGGAATTGTGGGGGGATATTAAGAGGTAGGGATGAACTTTGAATGAATTGGGGGTGGAGTTAAGGGGGTGGGAGGGGGTAGTAAAGGGTAATGAGGGTGGAGTAATGGTAGATTGGGGGGTTTAGAAAATGGATGAATATTGTGGATGGTGATGTTATAGTGGAATAGTATTTTTGTTTGGTTTGAGTTTGGTTTGTTTAGAATGGTGTTTATGATGGGGTGAGGGGTGGGTAGATGGGGAGGGTGGTGAATGGGGAAGGGGGGGGGGGAGGTGGGATAGGTGGGGAGGGAGGGGGAGTGGGTGGGGGATTTGGGGGATTTGTGTTTTGTTAATTATGGAAAAGAGGGGGGGAATAAGTGTGGTATAATTGGGTGGGAAATTGAGGGATTGTGGAAGGAGGGGGGGGAAGGGGTGTAGGGGGGGTGGAGAGGAATGATTAGAAGGGGGGAGGGGGGAGGGGGAGTGGGGTGAGGGGTTGGGGTTGTATGTTGGGTTGTATATAATTTATTATTAAGAGGGTTTATGGAAGGATATTTTTAGAGGGGTGGTAATAGGGGGGGGAGGGAGGAGGTTGAGGAGGTAAGAAGGGAGGTGTTGGGGTGGGATAGTTTTAGTGGATAGTGTTGGGTTAGTGGAGTTGTGTGGGTTAATTTGGGGGGGGGGGGGGGGGGGGTTGTGGGGGTGGGGGGTGTTTGTGGTGTTTTGTGGGGGGTGTGTGGGTGTGTGTGTGTGTTTGGGGGGGGGTGGGTGGTGTGGTGGGGGGTTGGGGGGGGGGGGGGTGGGGTGTGGGGGTTGGTGTTTGGGGGGGGGGTGTTTGGGTGGGGTGGGTTTGGTTGGTGTGTTGTTTGGGGGGGGGGGGGGGGTGTGGGGGTGGGTTGTGGGGGGGGGGGGTGTTGGTTTGGGGTGGTGTGGGGTGTTGGGGGGGGGGGGGGGGGGGGGGGGGGTGGGGGTGTGTTGGGGGGGTGGGGGTGGGGTTGGGGGGGGGGTTTGGGGGTTGGTGTGTGGGGGGGGTTGGGGGGGGTTGGGGGGGTGTGGGGGGGGGGTGGGGTTGGGGGTGGGTGGGGGGGGGGGTGGGGGGGGGGGGGGGGGGGGGGGTTGGGGGGGTGGGTGGGTGTGGGTGGGGGGGGTTGGGGGGGGGGGTGTTGGGGGGGGGGGGTGGGGTGGGGGGGGTGGGGTGGGGGGTTGGGGGTGGGGGTGGGGGGGGTGGGGTGGTTGGGGGGGGGGGTTGGGGGGGGGTGGGGGGGGTGGGGGGTGGGGGGGTTGGGGTTTGTGGGGGGGGTTGGGGGGTGGGGGGGGTGTGGGGGGGGGGGGGGGTGGTGGGGGGGGGGGGGGTTGGGGTGTGTGGGGGGGGTGTGGGGGGGGGTGTGGGGTTGGGGGGGGGTGGGGGGGTGGGGGGGGGTGGGGGGGGTGGGTGTTTGGGGGGGGGGGGTGGGGGGGGGGGGTGGGGTGGGTGTGGGTGTGGGGGGTGGGGGTGGGGGGGTGGGGTGTGGGGTGTGGGTGGGGGGGGGGGGGGGGGGGTGGTGGGGTTGGGGGGGTTTTGTGGTGGTGTTGGGGGGGGGGGTGGGTGGTGGGGTGGGGGGGTTGGGGGGGGGGGGGGGTGGGGGGGGGTGGTGTGGTGGGGGGGGGGTGGGGGGGGGGGGGGGGGGGGGGTGGGGTGTGGGTTGTGGTGGGGGGGTTGTGTGGGGGGGTGGGGGGGGGGGGGGGGGTTTGGGTGGGGGGGGGGGGGGTGGTGTGGGGGGGGGGGGGGGTGGGGGTGGGGGGTGTTGGGGTGGTTGGGGGGGGGGGGTGTGTGGGGTGGTGGTGGGTGGGGGGGGGGGGGGTTGGGGGGGGGGGGGGGGGGGGGGGGGGGTTGGTGGGTGGGGTGGGTGGGGGGGGTGGTGTGTGGGGTTGTGGTGGGTGTGGGGGTGGTGGGGGGGGGGGGGGGGGTGGGGGGTGTGGGGGTGTGGTGGGGGGGTTGGGGGGGTGGGGGGGGGGTGGGGGTTGGGGGGGGGGTGGGGGGGTTGTGGGGGTGGGGGGGGGGGGTGTGGGGTGGGTGTGGGGGTGGGGGGGGGTGTGTGGTGGTTGGGGTGTTGTGGGGGTTGGGGTGGGGGGTGTTGGGTTGGGGGTGGGTGGGGTGGGGGGGGTGGGGGGGGGGGGTGGGGGGGGTGGGGGGGGGGGTGGGGGGGGGGGGGGGGGGTTGGGGGGGGTGTTGGGGGGGGGGGTGTGGTGTGGGGGGGGGGGGTTTTTGGTGGGTGGGGGGGGGGGGGGGGGGTGGGGGTGGTGTTGTGGGGGGGGGGTGGGGTTTGGGGGGGGGGGGGGGTGGGGGGGGTGGGTTTGGGTGGGGGGGGGGGGGGGGGGGGGGTTTGGGGTTGTTTGTGGGTGGGGTGGGGTGGGGTTTTTGTGGGGGGGGTGGGGGTTGGGGGGGGGGGGTGGGGTGTGGGGGGGGGGGGGGGGGTGGGGTTGGTGGGTGTTGGGGGGTTGTTTGGGTGGGTTGTGGGGTTGGGGGGGGGGGTGGGGGGTTGGGGGGGGGTTGGGGGTTGTGGGGTTGGGTGGTGGGGGGTTTGGGGTGGTTGGGGGTGGGTTGGTGGGGTGTTTTTTTTGGTGTTTTTTTGTTTTGTTTTTGGGTTGTGTGGTAGTTGGGGGGGGGGGGGGGGGGGGGGGGGGGGGGGGGGGGGGGGGGGGGGGGGGGGGAGGTTAGGGTTTGTTTGTTTTGGGGGGGGTTTTGTTGGATGGGTATGTTTGGGGGGGGGTTGTTGGGATGTGTGGTTGTAGTGTATTTGTTATTGTGGGTGGGGGAGTTGGGTATTTATTGTTTGGGTGGGTATTGTTGGTGGGGGAAGAAGAAATTGGTTTAAGATAGGGAGGTAAGTATAGGGGTAGGTTTATGATGTGGGTGGGGAGAAAGGTAAGGATAGTGGGTGGGATAGATGTGGTTGGGAAGATGTGTAGGGGAAGATGTGGTTGATGAATGTGGTAGAGATAGGGGTTATAAGGGGATTGTTTGAGGGGATTCTTTGGAATCTCTAGTACTTACAACGTATTGATGTTGAAAAAAAATAAATTATCCATGATAACATTAAAACAGTAAAGAATACTTTTGTTATTCCATGATTCCGTTCAGCATTCTCAGTTCACTCCACAACACACTCACAACACAACTCACAACACCCCAACGTTATAGTATGGTCCAGTTTGTTTAAGGTCAACGTAGTGTATTTGACATGACGCACAAACATATAACATTCACAAACATAAAGAATACACAAACATAAACATTCACCGAAGGACCTGAATTTTAACTTTGTTATATTTTTTCCCAGTCCAATGACAATTGTCTCCTGAGCTATTTTAATAGTTGCAACTTTTCAGAGCCTCAGGAACAGCAAAGCTTTGAGAGGATTTTTCCTAAAAGGATCCATTTCAACTGTTGTGTTTTACACCACGTGGTCCTTTACTCGGGCTTGTCCACAAACCTTGTCCCCTAAATTTTTAATGAGCTCTTGTTACTTAACAAAAACTCATCCACGTTCAATAAGATTTTTTTTTTCCCTTTTTTTTTATAAAGCCAGTTCGTAATTCCTTAAAAAAGATGTAGAATTAGTTTCAAACTTTAATACTTCACCCTTGTTTTACTTTCAGAGGGAGAAAAGACCATTGGTCCTATGTGTTTTGTTGTACTGCACCAATTCATGTCCAGATAAACTGCCAACAGTTATATCAAAGACATAATTTCCTACTTGTTTCCTACTTAATCAATTCGGCAGGAGAAACATGTCATGAAAAGAATTCAAAAAATGTTTCCCAACATCCGTGTTTTCACCAATGAACAGTTGTTGCGTTATAATTGTGTAATCAAGAAATATCCAATATCACCTTTAGCCAAAATTCAGAAATGCCTTTAAATTCATTTTTCAAACTGTTAATTGTCTGAACATTCCATTTTGTACTAAATTCTAGCGTCCATTTACAATCTTGCAGTTCTTTTCTAGCACCAATTTCCAACTGTGGCAAGTGATTGTTTTTTAAATGATTAACGAGCCACGGTTCAGAGTGTTTAAAACACTGCTTTAAATATCCAGTATTACCAAGATCCTGCAGTCAAATCAATAATTTCTAACATCTCCGCTTCTATAACTTTAAATAATAATACTAGATTTCAATAATAGAGCTCCTCTAATTTAAATACTGCTGTTCTAATCTCCTTGTGTCTCATTCAAAAGCAAGAGTCGAATTAATTTTAACGATTGTCCTGTATTCTTTCTCGCAGCTAAATGTGTGATATGAACGAATGACCTAGCTAAATGTGTAAATATTAACCATAATATGTCTCTGTGCGTTTGTTGCCTGTCTTTATCTTTTACCTTCTGTGTGTCTCATTTAGGCCAGCCGCCGTCTCAAATGTCCGTTAATGTTCTTTGCTTTTACGTCATGGCGTCTTTCATGTCTTTTGTCGTCAAGTGGGTCCATGTCTTTGTCCTCCATGTCTTTTTCCTTCTTCTTTAAAACAATCACTTTCCTTGTCTTCTTCTTTCAATAATACACCTTCACTTTCTTCTTTCAATCACTCTTCTCATGTCCTTTCATGTCTCATTGTGTGTCCTTCATCTTCCTTGTTAGGTTAAACAATAGTTCTTTCTCCGCGGCAATAACTCCACGTCGTGTTTGTGCAAAAGTCGGTTTTTCTTCTCCATGAAATGGGTGGACGAGGAGGTCTTCTTCGGAGAGTTCCTTTAGCTGCTGCTCCGATGCTGCAGTCTTTCTCCCCCTGTGGTGAGAACGGGGGAGAAGCAGATGTCAGTCTGATGGCGCCCGATTGAGGTGTCCCTTGTGGCAGAAACGATTTTGGCCAAATGAGACAGAAAGAATTTTCTAGAAAAAAAGACAAACAAGTGGTGTTAATTAACATAGAAGAAACCAATGAGTGTATTTACAATTCATACATTAAACATATGATGATAATTAATATTAACATTTGTAAACATTAAATCTGAAAACCAATTCTGCATTCAACGGATCAAAGCCCTATTTTTCCAAAAGTAGAAATGCTCTCTAAATCAGTCTAAACTTTTATAGCTAAAAAAAAATGTAGGGAAAATAGCTTGTCTAAAGCATTGGAGATAAAAAAAATAAAAATAAAATAATGCCTCTTTATAATCTACTCAAAGTATGTGTACATATGAATAAATGTTCCAGTAAAAAATTATCGGGGTGTTGGAGAGCAGAGAGAAGTTTTCTACAAAAAATTATTTCTTCACGAAGAGAGAGAGAAGAGATAGAAGAGAAGATGATGGAGAATGTGTGTGTGGATGAGTAGGATTAGGGGTTGAGATGTGTGGAATGTTAGTGGGAGGGGGAGGGAATAAAGATATATGGTTGATGAAATGAGTTTGTTAGAGGTAATTAGGTTTGTTTATATGGTGAATAGTTTGTAGTTATAGTATTAAGTATAGTTTTTATTTTTTTAAAGTATTGTATAATATTATTGGTTATATTTTATTTTTGAGTTATGGTGGTTGTGGGAAATGATGTTTAAGATTGGGGTGGGTGGGTGTTGTTGATAGGTGTATGGTTTATTGTATTATTTGTTGTTTTTTATGAATGTAATGTTATGGGATATATGTTTATAGGTGGATTCTGAATTGTGATATATGTGTGGTATATGGTTGATGTGATGTTTGTTATGTTAATATGGTTTGTAGGGAGGGGAGAGGGGGGGGTTATGGGGGTAAAGGGGGGGGAAAGAAAAAAGGGGGTATGGGGGTTGGTTTTTAAGTTATAGGAGGTAAATTAGTGAAAGTGTGAGAGTGGAGTGGATGGGGATAGTTGTGAGGGGGAAGATAGGGATAAGTTGGGTGAAAAGGATGAAGATGATAGGGAGGGGAGGAGAGGGTGGATATAGTTAGTAATGATAAGATTGTGGGATTATATTGTTAAGATATGGTGTAAGATGGGGTTGGGGGAGGGGGATGGGGTGTTAAGGATTGGGTGAGGGAAGGGGGGATGGGAGGGGGGGGATGGGGGGGGGGAGGGGGGGGGGGGGGGGGGGTGTGGGGGTTGGGTTGGGTGTTTGTTGGGGTTTGGGGTGGGTGGGTTGGATTGGGTTTTGGTTGTGGGATTGGGGGGGGGTGGGGGGGGGGGTTTGTGGGGGGGGTTGGGGGTATGGGTGGGGTTGGGGGATGGGGTGGGTGTTGTTTTGTGGGTGGGTATGGGGGGGGGGTTTGTTGTTGGTTGGGGGTTGGGGGGTGGTGTTTGGTTGTTTTTTTTGGGGTTGTGTGTTTTGGTTGTTGGTGGGGGTTGTTGGGTTTGGGTGGGTGGGGGGGGGGGGGTTTGTGTGGGGGTTGGGGGGGGGGTTATGTGTTGGGGTGGTTTTAGTGGGTGGGGGGTGGGGGTGGAGGGTGGGGGGTGGGGGGGGGTTGATGTGGGTACTGGTTGGGGGTGTTGGGGTGTGGGGGTTGGGGGGGGGGGGGGGGTTGGGTGTTTGGTGGGGGGGGGGGTGGTTGTTGTGTGTTGGGGGGGGGGGGGGGGGTGTGTGTGTTGGGGTGGGTGTTGGGGGTGTGTTGGGGGTTGTTTGTTTGTTTGTGGGTTTGGTTTGGGGGGGGGTTGGTTGGGTGTTTGTTGGGGGGGTTTGTTGGGGGTTGGGTTTTGTTTTGGGGGGTTTGGGGGGTGGTTGGGTTTTTGGGGTGTTTGTGTTGGGGGGGGGTGGGGGTGTGGGTGGGGGGGTTGGGGGGTGGTGGTTTGGTGGGGGGGGGGGGGGTTGGGGGGGGGGGTGGGTGGGGGGGGTTTTGTTTGGGGTGTGGGGGTTGGGGGTGTGGGGTGGGTTGTGGGGGGGGGGGTTGTGGGGGTTGGGGGGGGGGGGGGTTGGGTTTTGGGGGGGGGGTGGGGGGGTTTTGTTTGTTGGTGTGTTTGTGTGGGGGGGGGGGGGGGTGGGGGGGGGGGGGGGGGTTGGGGGGGGGGGGGGGGGTGGGGTGGGGTTGGGGGTGGGGGGGTGGGTGGGGTGGGGGGGGTGGGGTTTTTTGGGGGGGTTGGGGGGGGGGGTGGGGTGGGTTTGGGGGGGGTGGGGGGGGGGGTTGGGGTGTGGGGTGGGGGGGGGGTGGGGTTGGGTTTTTGGTGGGGGGGGGTGTGGGTTGGTTGTGGTTTGTGGGGTGGGGTGGGGGGGTTGTGTGGGGGTTGTTTGGGTTGGGGGGGGTGGGTGTGGGGGGTTGGGGGGGGGGTGGGGGGTGTGGGGTTGTGGTGGGGGGTGTGGTGGTTGGGGGGGGGGGGGGGGGGGGGGGGGGTGGGTTGGTGGGGGGGGTTGTGTGGTTGTGGGGGTGGGGGGGGGTGGGGGTTGTGGGGGGGGGGGGGGGGGGGGGGGGGGTGTGGTGGGTGGGGGTTGGGGGGTGGGGGGGGGGGTTGGGTGTGTGTGGGGGGGTGTGGTGGGGGGTGGGGGGGGGGGTGGGGGGTTGTGTGTGTGGTTTAGTGGTTGGGGGGGGGGGGGGGGGGGGGGGGTGGGGGGGGGGGGGGGGGGGGGGGGGGGGGGGTGGGGGTTGGGGTGGGGGGGGTGGTTGGGGGGTGGGGGGGGTTTGGGGGTGGGGTTGGGGGGGGGTTGGGTTGTGTTGGGGGGGGGGTGGGTGGGTTTGTGTGGGGGGGGTTGGGGTGGGGGGGGTGGTGGGGTGTGGTTGGTGTTGGTGGGGGGGGTGGGGGGTGGGGTGTGGTGGGGGGGTGGGGGGGTTGTTTTGGTGGGTGGTGTTTGTGGGGTTTTGGTGTTGTGGGTGGTGTTGTTTGTGGGTGTGGGTGTTGTGTTGTGTGGTTGGTGTGTGGTGGTGTTGGTGGTGTTGTGGTTGTTTGTTTTTGGTTTAGGAGTTTATGTATTACACACAGAGTGGTGATTTTATGATATTGGGGGGGTTTGATGGTTTTATGGATATGAAGGTTTGATAATTTGGTGTGTTTAGTATTTTGTGTTAGTAGTTTGATTGGTGGGGGATTAAGGATGGTAGGGATGAGGGTGGGGGGGGGGGGGGGGGGGGGGGGGTTGGGGGTTTGGATGATGGGGATGGATGGGGAGGGTATATTTTGGGTTGTGGTGGTGGTGTTATTGATAGGTAAAGAGAAGGGGGTTTGGAGAAGGATGGGGTAGGGGGATTAGTGTTTTGTTGTTATTAGTGGGAGATTTGTTGGGGTTGTTTGTTTAGGGATTATGAGATTGTGGTTTTTTTTTTTGTGTGGGAGGATTTGGGAGGTATGGGGGGATTTGGAAGGGGGGTTAGGGGATGGGGAGGGGGGATTTTTAAGTGGGGGGTGTTGTGTGGGTATTGGGGGTTTGGTTGTTGAGTGGGGGTGGTGTTGTTTGGGGAGTTAGGTGTTGGTGGGGGTGTGATTTTTTTGTTTGGGTGTGGGTGGGTTGATTTTTTTTTGATGGGGTAGTAGGTTTTTTTTTGGATTTTATGGGTTTTGGTTTTGTGGTGGGGTGGGGGGGGTTTTGTTTTTTGTTTGGTGGTTGTTTTGGGGGGGGGGTTTTTTTGGATAGTGTTTGGGGTGGTTTTGTTGGGGGGTGTGTGGTGGTGGGTTTGGGGGGGGTGGGGTGGTGGGGGTTGTGGTTGGGGGTGGTTGGGTGTTGGTAGGTAGTGTGGGTTTTTGGTAGGTGGTTGGGGTTTGTATGGTGTGTTTGGGGGTGT